GGGAAACTTAGGGCAGATAACCTTTTCCATTCTTAATTATTACACACACAAAATAATTATAGTAATTAAAAAAACCAACCCGGTAGGAACAAGCTTGAGAGAGTGAAGGTGACTGAAGATGACAGTGCAGTTTCAAGGGTTGGAGAGCGTCCTTGCGGAGTTCTGGATACAAAGATGGAAAAGCCCATGAACTAGGATGTGGAAGATTGTCACATGAGCAATAAACTTGCTCTAATTTTTAGAGCAGTCATCAGGCACTCGTAGCTTCACAGGCTCTTCTGCAGTTGTCTTGGTAAAAGCATTTGTGGCTCTACAAAAAAAAATCCTCCGCTTTTCCTGAGGGCAAACTTGCTTTGGGAGCTCGTGTTTTTTTATTAACCAAATGAATACAATGAAGAAAAGTTTTTCTTCCGTCTCTTACATCAATATACAGATCTTTTTTAAATAAATGCACTTGTTCTTCAGCACCTGGTAACTACTAGAGGGATAAACAGTAGGCCATGGAGTGGGATAAGACTATTTATAAGTTCAAAATCCTGGTGATGATGTGATTGCTCCAGGTTCTACCTCTTCATTTTTGTCTTAAGCAAACAGGCTGCTCTTCTCTCTGTTGGAAGGAGATCTCTGCTGCTGGTGTGTTCATCTGGTAGCCGAGATGTTGTAGGAGAGGAACTGAAAAATAAAGCTTAATTTGGCTATAAAATCTGCCTTTTTCACAAAGTTGCTGAACGCCGAGTTTGGTTTGGTGAAAAGTCCGGCAATATTCCCCGTTTGGCTCGATCCTGTTCCCCTTCCCAGCAGTGCTCCAACTGGCCAGTTTGATCAAAATTTGATGAATAGAGATATTAAGGGATGTGAAAAGAATGAGTTGAGGAGGGGAGGGATCCTAATGATGCCGTTCAGTGAGGGGGAAACCGGAGTTTGCTCTCTGCTGGTGGGATATCCCAGACACCCACGGGAGCGCTCCGTCTCCGGGTGTCATCCTGGAGAAAGCCCAAAAACTTTGCCAGTTCATCTGAAAGGCGGTTTAGATCTTTATTTTTGTTTGGATAAGCTCAAGTGGGAAAAAAATAAATAAATTATAAAGTCTTTTCTGTGCCTCCCAGTTCTACAAAACTGTTGTTTAACCCTTTATTCCACAAGGCTTTGTGATTATTTTTTTAGGAAGCAGGATCAGCCCCGCAGGCAAATTTTAAAAGAAAAACTAAATGCCTTGCTGCAATTCAAAAGCTTCTGACTTTTTTTTTTCCCCTCCCTTGCATTCAAAAAGCTGCTGCTGACTTTAAAACCAGACTGCAATTGAGCAAACAAAGTCAGAGTCACAGCAGAAAAGTCTTGACTTGAATTTCCTTGGAGGCAAAACGCCAGTTCTTACTTGAGGACCTTGCCCTGCCCGTTGTTACTGGGGGAGTCTGAGGTTTTTCTGGTTAGAACGTGGATTTTTGGAAAACGGCCTGTGCTTCTACGTGTTCTTAGTATAAACTGATGCATTAACTTAAAAAAAATAATTTTTTTTTTTGATATTTTGTGTGATATCTGTTGGCATCGTTGCTCACACGGTAAGCGCTGGGCAGATGCTACGGGTGTAATTCAGCAGCCTCATCTCACACAACAAGAACCAACATTCCCATTCCCTGCTCCTAATTTCTGACAGATGTTCCGTACCTCACTAAATGTTATTTATAATCAGATTGGCATTACTTAAAAGAGATTATTTTCCATAAATGGTACTCGGATACCTACTTGATGAGTGGGATTTAGAAAACCTTGCAAATACTTGGTATTAAGTATACCAGAGACATATTTAACAGTCTTTTTATTCTTTTTTCTTTTTTAAAAATTTTTTTCCACTTTGTGCCTCCTCTTGACTAACTGAAAAATAAATTCTTTGCCTTTGGCTTTTTCTGTGTGTGCAGAAAACCTGTTATTTGAAAGAAGGGAATGGGCAATAGCAAATAGAAATTAAATACATTTTAATTTTTTAATTTTAGCATCAAGGAAGTGTTTGGCTTATTTTGAAATACACTCACGAGTGTGAAATACCTGGATAATTTCTAAAATTGACTTAAAAAAATTTTCTCATGCTGCATAGTACTTTGTTTTCCCCTTAGTTTTGTAGACTGATACTTGGAGAAGAAGGTCTGGCCTTGAAGGGAGCGATTAGAAGCCTTGTATCATCAATAAGGAGCGCTGGAAGGAGCAGGCGCTCTCTCTTGACACTTGGATTGATAATCCATATTAAGCTCAGATGTTAAAAGTGTAAAGAAAAATGCCAGTCCACCCATTCTGTTTATTAAAATTCTCCTTGATAAAGCACTTGCCACTTGATATTTAAAGGGGTTTTGTTTTCATGAATAAAAATTTAAGCCCTATCATTTTTTTACCGCTTGAATTTTATTTTTTTTTAGCTCGTTTTCTGCAAAACACTTAATTTTTATATTTTACCTAAAGCAGAGACCAAGGAAAAAAAACTTAAGCAGCGTCTGCAGCTTTTGATTTTGTGGGAAAACGAGACTGAGTTGCTCAAGGTCATGGTGGGAGCCCGTGGCTGGGGGTGTGAAAGCAGTTTTTCTGCCCTACGAGCTGCAGCTTGGACCAGAAATTCACCCACCCTGTGCCCGCGCAGACACCCAATTTGTGTTATAAATATTTCTATACCATATTTTGCTTTATTATCAGAGAGAAATATAATCGACCTCGTTGCTGGAAGTATTTGCCCGGGTGCAGAGCATTTTAGGGCTTTGAAAAACTTTATGAGGTAGAGGGGGGGGGAGGAAGGCACCCAGGCATGTCTTCAGTCCCCTTTGCCTTTCTTCAGCCCCAGAAAGAGCTTTGTGCCTGAGCAGTGATGCAGAACATCTGATGGGCCTGCTTCTGGCATAATCTCTCTTTCTAATTTTTTTTTTCCCTTAGTGAATATTTTTTTCTCCTTTAAATACAGAAGAAAGCAACAAAAAAAAAAAAAAGAAAAAGCAGCATCGACTGTATTTAAACTGTATTTATGGAGAGTTTTGAAGAATACCACCGGGGTTGTGTGTAGCTGGTGCATTGAGAAGTGGATCTGGCTGCGTTTAGCGTAAAGAATGGTAATTAAACATGTGCTGTGGCTGAGTGTGTGCTGCTCCGAGTAGGCAGATCGGTTCGGTTGGAGGCTGCTGCCTTGAGATTAATTCCCTTTTGGTTCTAGGCTTGGATAAGCCTTCCCCTTCACTGCTGAGGGCTGGGAGCGAGGAGAGATTACCAGGGAATATGGAAAGAGCTTTAATGATCTGTGCGTGTCTCCTTCCTGGTGATTTTTAATTCGTATTTTAGCTGAATCCGTTCCTTAGAATTTTTGTGGAACCTTTTGCTAGGAGTAAAATGAATATTTTCTTTATTTCCCTATACATATGCTGCCTGGACATGTGTTTATAGATGTATGCTTTTGCAATGTTTATGCTCACATTTTTTTGAAAAGAAAAGAACCCCACCAAACATATTGTAAGTAACTTTTGATGTTATTTGCTGCAAAGTTAAGAAAAAACAAATGCCCTGCACCCTGTGATGTGTGACCTTTGCCGTTAGGCTGGAAGTGTCTAAAGAAGCCCTGGTTGTAGAGGAGGGCTTGGACGTGGTCCTGAGTAATTAGTGATGGTGATAGTTTTTATTTAAGGCACAGGGTTGTTCCATCAGTGATTTTTGTAGTTGTGAAGTCGCGATGGAGGGTCTGACCCCAGTTTGTGGCAGTTCTCCTGGGCTTTTAGGGTGCTGGGTTCCTTTTTTTTTTTCAGTGCAGCTCTACACAAGTCCAGGAAGAAATTCTTTGCTGTGAGGGTGGTGAGACACTGGAACAGGTTGCCCAGAGAAGCTGTGGCTGCCCCATCCCTGGAGGGGTTCAAGGCCAGGCTGGATGGGGCTTGGAGCAACCTGGTCTGGTGGGAGGTGTCCCTGCCCGGTAATTGTCCCTGGATGGTCTTTAAGGTCCCTTCCAACCCCAAAAAACCCCATTCTATGATTCTATACAAAACGGGATAGAAGGGGGGGGGGATTTGTGGGACCCAGTGCCCCCACCGAGCACGGGAGGGATGGAGAGAGAT